AAACCGCTCGGCCATCGGCTCCGCGCGGGCCGAACGTCTTCTTCTTGGACCGTCCCTGAGGCTTCCCCATGGTGCTTGCGTGCGTCTTTCGTGTTTTCGGGCCGCCACGTGTGCGTGTCGTTGTGTGCTCGTCTTGCCCAACGAAAAAAATCTCCCATGGGGACGGCACAACAAAAAGTTGAATATCTTGGAAACCAGATTTTTCCCGACAAAAAACACAAATACCGACCTAGATATTGAGGAGAGGAATCGTTTGCCGCTGTTTATTTTGAAATCGGTCGGTTAGTTATCCCCCGAAAAACAATACAAGTTAGCCCTCTAGATCCGGTTTTTCTCTGATATCTCCGTGAATTTACAATATTTTGACAAAAAAAAAAATACCTACCTGGCAAATCCCGACATCTGTTCAAATCCGTTGAGTTTTTCGAATCGGCAAAGAACACACCCCTGCGAAAAAATTCAAGTTTTTCCGGTTTTGCGCCGATAAAAAGTCAAGAAAAAAAAAAAAAACTCTCCGTCACGCGATGCGCCTGCAAACAGGGCGTTTTCCGGTACTTTCAGATTTCGGAACAACCACCTGTGGGCAGAGAAAAGTTGTCATTTGTGCTGGGAAAATTTTGGATTTGTTGGTGTGCACGGACTATATGTATTGTAGTGCGCCCCTTCCTCACCGCGGTAACGGCCCCGCCGGACGACGCCTTGCTGTACATGCCGAGGGCATCCTCCAGGTCCTGGGCGTGGTCCTCGAGAACCTCGTGCAGGAGAAGAGCATCCCTGAGAGGGATCTGTGTAGCAAAAGAGCAACCACAAACAGAACAGGGCGCGGTCCTTATGTACGGAATGTAGCACCAACACCGAACCGCATAGCACCACGAAAACATGGAACGGGGTGTGTGTGATGGGGGCGAGCAGCAAAACCAGCAAAGCGAAAACCAAAAGCATGCACCAAACGCACACACACACGGCACATGAAAACATGGAAGAGGGTGGTGTGATGGGGGGCACATCGCTGAACAAACTCGAACCCCTCGTCTTTGCAACCCCATAGTATTACTTTGGAAATACTGCACGAAAAAACGCTAACCGAATGACTACATATTCGATGGACGAATACGGAACAAGGAATGTCAGCAACGACGGTGCCAGACCACCCTTCCCCGCGACAAGACACGAGCCACGCAAAAAAAAAAAGAAGGGGCAGACACGAAAAGAAGCATCGAAGAGGAAGTAGCAGCCTGGGCAAAAAACTGTACACGGTCGAAGACGTGCCGAGGCTGGGTGACGCTCAGCAGCCGCCTTCAGACGGATCGTCCACAAAATCAGGAAAGATAGACGCACAGACCGGCAGACAGGCAGACAGGCAGGCACCGAACCAGAGACAGAGAGATGGGGGGCGGGAGACCCAGGCAACACGAACAAACCACTCCCCGTACAACGCAACACACCAGCCTCGATGCTCCCATAACCGGGGAGCAACCAATTGCCCACACAAGGCATGCAGGGAGGCAGCTCGGCGTAACACTTGAAGAGCTCGACGTCCATCGACCGATCTCACGACGACACCCACCGGCCACAACCACGGACGACCTCCCGACCCCACCCACCTGTTTCCGCTTCTTCTGGATGGCTTGCACCCTCGCCAAGAACACCGGCATCTTTCTCGGGTGGGACGTGGACACTAGGGTGAGCGCGAGGTCGGCCATCGAGATGGTGTCGTTCTTGTACCGGCTCCACCACCCCGAACCGTCGCCCTCTCCGCCGCCTCCGTCCTTGCCGGCCTCCTCCGCCTTCGCCGCCGCCTTCGCCGCCGATCCGTTAGCACGGCCGCCGCCGCCGCCGAGACCTACCCATGACAGCCAACCTCTTCTGTTCGTGGCCGGCTCCTTTTCTTCCTCATCGAAGCGTCTGTAGGTTGTCGGCGAAATTGTTGTTGGTGTTGTTGTTGTTGTTGTTGTTGTTGTTGTTGTTGTTGTTGTTGTCATCGTTGGTGATGAGTGCGGAAGTGTGTGCATTCGCGTGCGTGTGTAAGCCGGAGACGTAAACGCTGCTCAAGCCATGNGTGATGAGTGCGGAAGTGTGTGCATTCGCGTGCGTGTGTAAGCCGGAGACGTAAACGCTGCTCAAGCCATGGCGTTCTTTTATCATCTCAGGCTTTTGGTTGTGGGATGTAACGTGACAGCAGCGGCGGCACACGAACGAGCAGCACGTATGTAACGAGGCACAAAGCATCTACGTACAAAAGCGATGCCTGTTTACATGGTGTCGTAGCACGGAAAACTGGCACGGGCACAACAACAGAGACAAGGCCACCAGCCCGACACAACGCCTTGACGGCGACACACAAAGCACGCACATCGAACGCGAGTACAGACGGCACTCCACCGTCTTAACGTCCAGCCTCAGATCTCGCACGAAGGCCTTGAACTGCTCCCGGTTCACACCGCCGCCGCGGCCAACCCCGTTCTTCCCGAAGTAGGCAGCCGCTAGCCGCTTGTGACCGGTCAGCTTCGTCTGTTCGTCGTCTTCAGAATCCCCATCGTTTTTGTTGTCGCCGTCGTCTTTCTTAGCGTCGTCACTACTGTCGTCGTCGCCACCGCTATCGTTGCCGCCGTCTTCGGAAGGTGCAAGTCGCTGATTGGTTTGGGGGGCGGAGTCGAAGCGAGGTGGAACAGAAAGGGGAAATGAAGATGAATATTGTTCACATCATGACTGTGACGGTGGGATGGAATACAGTCGTCCCCGCTTTAATTCATGACATCATTTTTAAAGACGCTCCCCGCTTTAAGGACACAAAAATCTCAGAAACATGGTGTCCCGCAGATGTGAAAA